TTCAGCCGGCCACTTCAACGTGGTGCCAGGGTCTAGTACTCTTTGCTAGAGAGGAAGCTAAGCGCCTGCTGCCCATCCGCTGCCCGCGGAGAGGCAGGAGGCGCCGCACAAACGGGTCGGAAGGGCACCAGACGGAGCCATTTACATGGCTGCCAGCGGAGCGGTATTTCTATCCGCTGCTGAATTCCATCGGCGCTTATCAGCGCTATACATACCGTTTGCGTGCCGTATGCGACGCGCAACGACAAAAGCTACTGCTAAGCGGAGACATTGAGCAGAACCCAGGCCCCATAGCAGTACTCCAGATGAACGTTTCTTGCCTCACGCCGTCAAAACTCGCAACATTAATGGCGCAAGGAGCAGACATAATGGCCATTCAGGAGACTTGGAAGTCGTCAGAGCAGATCGCCAGCATGCACACTGGAGATTATGTGCTCTATGCACAGTCGCGCATCGGCAAGGGAGGCGGTGTGGCGGTGCTGGTGCGGAAAACTCTCCGCTCCAAGCGTATACCTCTCACCATCCCCCAGCATGACACCAGCCTTGAAGTGGTGGCGGTCCAGGCTGCTCTGGACCAGAACCGTGATATTATTGTAGCGAGTGCCTACATGAGGCCACCACCGCAAGTAACGCAATCCTTCAGGCGGTTAGTAAACTGCCTTCCAGCCTCGTCGCCGCTCCTGCTGTGTGGGGATTTCAACATGCATCACCCACAGTGGGAGCCATTCTTGGAGACTTCTCCAAGCGAGGTTGCTGCAGAATTTTTAGAACTGTGCACGGATGCGGGACTCACCTTGGTTAACACCCCTGGTGAGATCACGTATGCCCGTGGCACAAGAGAACGATCCTGTATCGATCTGACATGGTCAAAGCATTTGACTGTGTCGGATTGGTCAGCTTCCGTGTCGCCGCTTAGTGATCATTATATGCTGACATTTACGCTGCATCAGGCATTTAAGGATACCATACCTTCGGCACCTAGGATATTCCACAGTTGGGGGAAGTGCAAGTGGGATTTATTCATCAAGGACTTCGACGCACAACTTCCGGCATATGACTATAAAAAGCAGTCCACCGGCATTAAAGCTTTCACGAGAGCGCTTATAACTTCGTATCGACGACATTGCCCCCGCGGCATGCACAAGGACGGTCCCAGGCTTTGGGACGACACTCTCATGGAGGCAGAGCGGATGGCTACCGACAGCAAGGCCCACTATCTACAGTTACCGACGCCCGACCGTGAGGCAGAAATGCAACGGACAAGGAGTCAATTCTTCCTCCTACTCCGCGAGCGCTTGCGCAACACGTATCTACGCCGCATCAGCAAGTTAGATCCAGGCGAGCCACTCGCATGGAAATACATTTCCGGACGAAAAAAGGCATCACTTCCATCTCCCACATCAATTTTATTGGGAGATGGTCAACACACTTATAAAACAGCAAGGAGAGCAGCGAATGCTCTCAATCGCATCTTTCTTCCATTTCACCCCTCTCACAAGGCAGTTAGGTTTTCCAAAGGCATCAACAGACAGAGTGCCTCTTTGAACATTAATGCTTCTTTTCTTTTTGGGCAGCAGAACAACAGCGAGTCTGCCGCTACATTTAATTCAGGTTCTTCACTCTCACCTAGTTCTGAGCCACAGGATAAAAACGAAGCTGCCACCAAATCTGGTTTAGTTGCTCATCTTCACTCCCCTCTTGATGCACCTTTTAATCGTACGGAACTGCTTGCTGCGCTACGTAATACGCCGTATGGCAAGGCCCCCGGACCGGATGAAGTCTACAGTGAGGCACTGCGACATATTTCGTCAAAGGGCCTCCGATTCCTTCTTCGTTGCATTAACCACAGTTGGACGACCGGTACGATTCCGGTTGAGTGGAGACGCGCTACCATCGTTCCACTCTTAAAACCCGGTAAGTCGCCGGAACTGCTTGAGTCATATCGACCCATCAGCCTTACTTCCATTGTGAGTAAGGTTGCTGAGAAAATGGTACTGAAGAGATTGCTTTGGGTGTGGACGCCGCACCCCCACCAGTATGCATATCGTAGTATGCGTACTACGACGATGCAGCTGGCACACCTGATACACGAAGTGGAGCATAATAGAAATCACTATTTCCAAGTGAGCCTTCCCAAGAAGAGCGGTATTGGCAATCAACTCCACTACAGACCCCATCGGACCCTGCTGGTGCTGGTTGATTTCAGCAAGGCTTTTGACTCCATAGATCATCGAGTCCTCAGTCGCTTGCTGGCTAATATTCCGGGGGTGAATTGTAGGTGGCTTAGAAACTTTCTATGTGGGCGCTACGCGAAGACACGAGTTGGCCACAGACACAGCGATCGGCGTCCCATGCTGCGAGGAGTTCCTCAGGGGTCCGTGCTGGGACCGTATTTGTTCTCCCTTTACGTACACCCACTTCTCAATCTGCTGAACAGCTTTGCGGGTGTCACAGCAGACATGTATGCGGACGACCTCTCTATTATCGTCAAGGGGCAGTCCCGGGAAGACGCCATTCCCACTGCCAACATGGTTCTTCAAAAGCCGCATGCGTGGAGTCAGGAAAGTGGCCTGGCCATCAACCCGTCAAAGTGTGAAGCTGCTTGGTGCACACTATCCACGCACACGGAGTCAGATTATGATCGTGAAGGAAGGTGGCCCCTGGTAGTGGCTGGATGTCAAATCCCAGTCATGACCATGGGGGCATCGCGAACTACGAAGCTTCTCGGCATGGATCTCGATCCACGACTGACGCTAAATGTGGCGGCCAACAAGCAATGCGCTGCCACTTCGCAACGGATATCGCAGCTACGCTGCATAGCGCACAAAGAGGCGGGACCATCTCCACATGACCTACGCACGTTCGTCATTGGATACGGTGCTTCCAAATTACGCTATGGCAGCGAGCTCATATGGGCAGTAGCGACGGATTCAGCGAAGAATGAGATGCAGAAGACGTACGCAACCCTAGCACGCATTGTCAGCGGAGTTCCGAGCACTGTTGACCCGGAATCCGCACTGCTGGAGGCTAATATGCCGCCGCTCCACGTCCTTTGCCTGCGCGCGCGGCTCTCAATATTTGAGAAAACACGCGCATGTCAGATGGACTGGATGCGGAGACCCCCGCCTGAGCCACCACCTCGCGCCGGTTTCCGCATCTCGCCATTATCTCGGGACGAGCTATATGCCTTCGTAGACGCATACACAAAGGACTATGGCATCACCGAGAGCTCACCACGCGAAGAGCGGTTCTTTCGCAGCTCCATTCCTCCCTGGTTTGCGGCCTCCGCTCACCGGGTCACCATCGGTGTGGAACTTCCGATAGACCTCCCAATAACTGACGAGGAAGAGCTGATAAGGGAAAAGCGCAGAGTCAGCGAGGAGGCTCTGGCGCTGCACAGCCATCGTTCGTGGATACTTGCGACCGATGGCGGTGTCGACGTTCCCAAGTCAGCAGGGGTTGGAATACTGCTTTCATCCCTCAACTCATCGGAGATAATAGAAAAGGCCAGCATAAACTGCGGTGCACGCCCATGCAGCTACAGGACGGAATCCCGTGCGCTGCTTCTAGCCCTAGAGAAGCTGATGATTCCTCGTATCCGCCACAGGCGTAAAAACCTGCTTGTGGTTACGGACAGTCAGTCTCTTCTAGCGGCTCTAAACAAGGGCCCGCTCAGTCAGACAGACTGGACGGAGGATCAGATCTGGCAGCGTCTCCTGACACTGGCGTGTGCTGGCTGGTCCGTGCACCTGCAGTTTTGTTACGGACATTGCGGAGTACATGCTAACGAGCTTGCAGATCAGCATGCGACGCAGACTATGGAAAGCGGACAATACACGGAGCAAGGAATCGCACCTTTATGGCATACGGATCTGCTGACATGTTTTACTACCCAGCTCACCAACAAGTGGCGTAGTACCATTCGTCAAGACACTCATCGCTACTTGCTTTGCGGCACAAGGCCATCAGATCTCAGCGGTAAGGACCTGATCACTCAGGAAGTTCTACACCGTCAGGAACTGGTTCACCTCGCAAGGGCAAGGTGCGGGGAATCCGAGCTCTGGGGTCGACTATACTGGGCCGTGAGAGATTGCACAAACCAATGCCGATTCTGCAACGTCTCACCGGAACAGTCTGCATATGTGCGCTCTAACAACGATCCAACTGCACCGGGGACGGACACTGTTCCCCCGTCGGCGAGGGAGGAAGACGTCTCTCCAGTAAGGAGACGGACCCTCACACGCCGTCGGAAGGAGAAATGTCCGCACTGTGATTCTACATTGACGGGATTCTCGGGTCTCGTCAGTCACTGTCGGTCATTTCATCCGGAACATCCTCCACCGCTTCCCGAGCTCAAATGTGATTTCTGTGACATGGTTTTCCCCACACGGAGAAGCACCGCACAGCACAGAAGTCGCTGCGCACACAACCCAGACGCCACACGGCATCGAAACAGCAGTGCCAGGAGGCGATCTCTGCTGCCGCAGGATCAGCCAGCTTCCACAAGCACGCCAATCGGCCCGCAGGAAACCTTGCACCATCTGCTTCTAGAATGTCCAGGCACCTTGGCTGTGCGTCAACGGCTGGGCATTGAACAGGACCTTCGCCTCGGAAAATCCTCTCAATGGCAGTTGCTTCATAGCAGGAAACTTTTGTCGTTGCTCGACCACCTCCTCAGCACCTAGATGGCATTGTATAGCGAGACGCGCTGGTAAGAGTAGAAAAAAAAAACTCTGGGGAACTGAGCAGTTTGTTTGCCAACGACGATGAGGATCTTACGTTGTTTTTGGCGACTTTCCCCGAGGAGCTGCAGCATGTGCGTTTACGCACGGAGGCGAGGGGTGTGTTGGGAGAACTGAAGGAGACAAGCAGTTTGCTGGTGAATTATGCAACCAACGTGCGACATCGGCTCCCCGAAGGGTACGTGGCGACAGCGCCACACGATAGCCCTTCGTCCGCCACGGCCATGGCGGAGGCGGCGGAGGAGTTGAAGACAAAAGTGAGGATCGACGAGCTGCGACAGCGCTTTGAGTTGGAGGGATACGAGGAGCACCCGGAGCTCTGGCGGACGTTGCAGGATCTGCGTCAGAAGGTACTTGAGCAGGAGGCGTTCCTCAAGGAATCCCTGATGGATGTCGTTAATCTGTCGCGGCCCCTTCCTGGCGAGGATCGCGACGCCTTTGCGATAAGGCTCACGCGAGAAGTAAACGAGTATGCCAAGTCCCACCGCCTCGACCAGCGAGACCTGGGGAAGAATACGGACATAAAGGACGACTACACCGCCGCTGTGAAGGGGTTTCTCGAGAGCTTTGCGTTGACACGCGGCAGGCGCCCTGGTCACGATGTTGGCTGCCAATGCAACCCGGACGATCTCGGCTACGTGGATGAGGAGATCCGACGCACGGAGGAGGAAATGGAGGACCTTTACTTTCATGCGCGTGGGCTGTTCAGCGCCATAAAACTCACCATTGTTGCCGTAGGAAATGTTATGGGATTTCACGCCTCCCTTGAATTGGAATCAACGTGCAAGCGTTGCTTTTACATATTTGAGAGCCCACGCACGCTTTGTCCATGCGGCCACACCTTCTGCCAGCAGTGTCTGCCGCTTATGTTCACGGAGCAGGGCGAACTGATATGCGAAGAGTGCGGCTCACTGTGTGAAGTTGGCTACACGCCAAACCTGGCGCTGGAGCTCGTGGCCAGCTACCAAGTCATGCAGCACACCGACTACGACGATGACGATGACGATGACGGTGATGGTGAAATTGGCTGCGTTGTGCAGCGGCGCAGCATTGAGGAGGTGCTAACAGCAATGCTGAAGGATCTCATGAGCACTCAAACCACAATAGCGGATGCACCACGAAAAACGGCGGGGAAAGCGGCACCCCACCCGCTGGAGCTCGTTATGTAATTTGTTTTTAGCGGAAGGAACGGGGAAGAGCGGCCGGAGGGAGGGAGGGAGGAGAAGCGAAGGACCGCCCGTGTCCCCGCGATGTCAATGTGGAGGTCAAACTTGCAACATCCCCTAGTGAATTGCCATGCATCTTTTGTTTGTTTGGGGGGATTTTTTGGTTGTTGTTTTTTTCCGCCACGTTGACTTGCACGCCGATGTCGCACCTTTTTTTTTTTTTTTGGCCTTCCTGTATTTTGCTTGCTGTTGTTTCTGCGGTGGTGTTCTTTCACTCTTCCTTCCTCTTCTCTTCGCTGGCATGTAATCGTTGATGCCTCTCTGTGTGGGCTGGGGCCCTGCAGGTTGGTGATGAAGTTCAAGGCCACTGTGCGTGACCAGCGCACCCTTGCCAGTGTGTGCCAGGAGTGCCGCGGCATTCAGTGTCGGTGCGTGATCAAACTGCACCCCACACGCATTCGCTTCTTCACGAGCACGCAGTTTGCAGACGGCATGCAGGTATGGGCCGGATGCCGCACGCAGGCCATCTTCAGCGACTTCCAGTCCCAGTCGCAGCTGCAAGAAAACGCCATCTTCTGCGAGGTGGCGGACCTTTCACAACTTTTTCACATCATGCGCCAGGCAGAGCACTGCCCAAACGTCACCATCAAACTGACGAAGAATGCGGCGAGAAGGCCGGCGCTGCGTGTCTCGATGCAGGGCGTCCGCCCGCATCTTGACATCAGCCACGACGTGCCAGTGCGGGTGCTTAGAGAGCTGGAAGTGCGGAATATCAGCGCCCCTCCCCTCGAGAGCGAGGTGGTGCAAATTGTTTTGCCGTGCCTCGCGGAGCTGTCAAAGTTTGTGGACAAGGTCCGCTCCACCTCGTGCGATCGCATGACTTTCACAGTGAGGGACAACGAGCGGGCGGATGGCGCTGCTGCTACCAGCTGCACTCTGGTGGTTCTAGCCGAATGTTTCCTTGCCAGCTTTGCTCTGAAGTACAGCTCCGTGCAAAAGTGCGAGCGCGAGGGTGAGAATGACGCCGATTTTGATGGCGAAGGCGATGGTAATGGCGGGGATAAGCCGAAGCACCGCGACGATACGTCGATGGCTTACGCTTCAGTGTCGGTGGAGGTGAGACGGTTTGCGCGGTTTCTTGCAATCAAAGAGGCGACACCCCTCCAGTTTGTGCTGCATCTTGTGGACGGGAAGGCCGTTGTGCTAAGCGTTTTTGCGTCAGGTGGCACAACGCTCGTTGGCTACATGCCTGCCGTGGCGCAATAATCTCCGCCTTTGCGCTGCTGCTTCTTGCAATTACGGGGGAATTGGCAGTCGTTGCCGTTTGACTCCATGTGCTGCACTGTCTCTCCTCGTTCTGTGTGTATGCGTGCACACCCGACATGCACGTGCATATGTTTTTTGTCGCATACAAGATGCAGCTCATTCATAACTTCCCGAGAGAGCGGAGGGGAAAATTGTTTTACCTCTGCGTGCATTATCGCCTTTTTTGTTGTTGTTGTTGTTTTTCTGGGTGTGATACATCAGGTGGTGTGTGCTGTCCCGAGGTCCTGCCTCTCTTCTCCTGCCTGTTTGTTTTCCGTCCGGTGTGGCACTGCGGTGCACGGGCGAAGTAGTCGTTTGGATTCTTTTGCGGTGCGTCGCGTCTCACGCTTTGCTGCGCCGTTGGTTTGTGGGGGACGAAGTTGTGCCACGACGCGTGGGGATGATGCCAGCCGCACAGAGCGCAAGGAGGACGTTGTGACGCCGTGGGGTGTTGCCGCCACGGGCCCGAGGGGTGTGGACTATGACCGCGTCCTTGCACTATTCGGGTCGGAGCCCGTTGATGAGCCCCTTCTGCAGCGGCTGGAGGAAACATGCAACGGACGGGAGGAGCACCGCAGGCAACCAACACCGCACAAGAGGAGGCGGGACGAATGGCATTGCAACATTTTTTCCGCCGCGGCATTGTCCTCTCCCACAGGGATTTTGGAACCGCCATTGACTGTGTGCGTCCTTTGCGACGGGGACACACCGCGCGTACTTGTACACTGGTCGTGGACCGAGCGCGCGGTCGATGCACATTGGCCATGTCATGCCTTTTTTATTGACGCGGTACCTGCAGGATGCGCTCGGTCTTCCGTTGGTGATCCAGATAACCGATGATGAGAAGCACTTCTTCCGCGACATTCCCCTCAGCGGGGAGAGGGCGAGCGGGTTGGTGGTGGAGAACATAAAAGACATCATTGCCTTTGTCTTCGATCCACGCAAGACATTTATATTCCGCAACACGATGTACATGGGGGACATGTACCCAACTGTCGTGCAGGTGCAGCGCATGTTGACGCTGAGCGCTGTGAAGAGTACATTTGGCCTGAAGGATAGCGACAATGTTGGAAAGGCAGCCTTTCCAGCGGTGCAGGCCGCACCGTGTTTTAGCAGTGCCTTCCCCCGTGTGCTGCGACGGCTAGCTGGGACCCGCCGCTGAAGTGCATCATTCCCTGTGCAATTGATCAGGACGCTTTTTTCCTCCTGGCACGCAACGTCGCGCCGCGTATGAAGTGCTGCGCCCCCGCACTGCTGCACACAAAGTTCCTCCCCGCACTGAAGGGAGCGCAGTTCAAGATGAGCAGCAGCGCCGAGGGGAACGGAGTCATCACACTACACGACACGGAGCAGGAGGTGCGGAAGAAGGTGCGCAAGGCCTTCTCTGGTGGGGGTGGCACGTTGGAGGACATGCGTGCGGAGGGTGTCAACCTGCACGCAGACGTGGCGTACCAACTCATTCGGTTCTTCTGCCCCGACGACAATCTCCTCGCGGAGGTGACGTCGAAGTACAGCAGGGGTGAGATGAGCAGCGCCGAGGAAAAGGACCTCGCCGCGGATGTCGTTGTGCGGCACGTCTTGTCGGGGTGGCAGGCGCGGCGGGCTGGCGTCACAGATGCCGACGTGGAACACTTCTCCGGCATCCGCAGCATTCTTCTGTGAATGCCGGCAGGAGGGAGGAAGGGATGATGGGGGAGAGAGGGCGCACATGCAGCGGGAGTGGTGTGGCTGACTGTGGTGTCCGTGAAGATGATGCATGTGGGTGGGGGCGTGTTGGTTGTTGTGGTACCCACCGCGTATATTTGTTTACTGTGGCTTCTGCTGGACTGCGCGTGAACGCCTGGTGTTCCCCTTGCAGTTGTACAACAAGTATTTTAGAACAACAGTAGATAGGGAGCTATTAGGCTGCAATGGGGCGGGGGCCGCACCACGATGGCACGCGCCACGGGAAGGATGGCCGCGGGATTTTCCGAGGGAGAAGGGGTGCGACACGACCTTACGAAAACGTTGATGGGTGCGGCATTTGCTGCGGGGATTGTTCAGGAGATGTAGCGGACGCTTCTGCCGCCAGGGGCTATGCCACTCGGGCACGTGACGCGCTACAGGAGAAGTGCATTCGATTGGCGTTTTGCAGGGCGTTCCCACACAACAACCGAGTGCGCGTGCACACCACGTTTCTCACCCTCGCTGGAGTTGATTTCATTCTGGTGGAACGCACCATCACTGGCTGCGACGACGCGGTGTACCGTGCGAACCGCGACGTGTGGGAGCATGTTCCTCGCGGTCAGGCCAGTGTCCTCATTGCGGATCCTGGGGAGGGTGCGCCCCGCCTGGTGGCGACACTTCAGGGCCTGCGGAAGTTCGGTCAGTTCGACGCGCCGTATGGTGTGGAATGCGGGACGCCTGTTGTGGCGGTGGCACTTGAAGCAATTGACGGTGACTGCGGCCACGTGACGGCCTTCGCACACGACGGAGAGCGATTCTGGCTGGTAGGAACCAAAGACGTGCACATGCTAGTGCGCTTTGATGTGCCAGAGGAGGATCTTGCCCTTTACGGTGTGGATGAGGGCGTCTCGTGGCGCGCTGCGGTTCCAAAACGTGTGGCGAGCGTCTGGCGAGACACGTTGCGTGCGCTGCCGGAGGGAAGGGCCGCTGCTCTGCATGACTATTTGGGCACTACGGGGCGCACCGCATGCTTTGATGGTATTCTGCGGGAATGTGGACACCTCGTTGACCACGGACCCCGTGAGACACTGAAGTTCTACGCCGTTACCTGCCGTGGTGCGACCCCGCATGAAGGCCTCTGTGCCGATCCCGCGAGCAGCATGGCGGCACTGCAGTCCTTCGGTCTTGACGTTGTGACGCCGCAACCGGCAGTAGAGCTGGGGACAGACGAATACGCAGTCCTGCGAGACGGCGTGGCGCGTCGTCTTAACTGTGAGGGTGCGGTGTTTTACGGCTGCAATGAGGCGGGGGTTGTTGTGCGGATGTGGAAGCAGCGGTCCCACGCATACGCAATGGAGCGTGCGGCGCAGGAGGCCATCGTCACGCACCGTTTGTGCGGTGTGGCGCTCCGCTCGAGGCTCGCAGGCAAGCTCGCCAGGCTGCCAGAGGAGGTGCGCCGGTGCCTCGGTGACTGGGAAGCGGAACGCCTCGACTACCTTGTGCGGTTTGCAGCGTGGCTGCATTTGACACGGCGGCAAACGGCGCGAACGGACCTCGGCGGGCTGCAGGACCTGCGCCGCCGATGGATCACGCTGCAAAACCAGTTCGCGCAATGTGTCGCCGCCGATGCGCACGTGCGGTCCCAAGTGATGCACTACGAGCCGTCCGGTGACGACGCCGTCACCAGCGACCCCGACGCTGTCGTCTGCGTTGGTCTGCAGGGCTGCGGCAAGTCCACATTCTCCCGCACCCTGTACGCTCTGCTGCGCCAGGCAGGGCTTTCGCCATGTTGGATCAACCAAGACGAGGCCGGCGGAGAGCGGCAGTTTCTTGACGCCATTCGGCGCGCGCAGCGAGGCGGCCACACGCACCTTATCATTGACAAGATGAACCTCGATGAGGCCGCACGCGACGACTACGCCGATCTCGGGCTCAGGGCATTGACAGTGGTATGGTCACACCCCGACGGCACGGATGCACTAGTGGACATCTGCTTCGACCGAGTCCGTCGCCGTGGTTCTGCTCACCGCACT